TGTCAGAGGGGACCCCAACACCGACCAACGCAGCCCCCTTCCCCCGGAACGGACCCCTCCTATCTCTCCTGTACCTTTAGCGTGGTCCTTGTCCAGCTGGTTGGCCGTTTTCTTCCAGTCCTCGATCCTGTCCTGCAAAGGGTTTATCAGGCTCTCCATGAGGGCGCTGGAGCAGGGAGAGAGAGGCAGAGAGCGTGGGAGAAGGCCAGAGCCAGGGGGGGAGCCACGGCCCAAAGCCCTGCACCCAGCTCCTCCTTCAGAGACCGGGGCTGAGCCCGGCCAACTCGTGACACCGATGCCCTGGGCCCCACTCACTTGGTGAACTGGCGGAGCTTGGCCTCGATGCTGCGGTGCCGCATGCACATGCGGGTCAGCGCGGAGCCAATGTCCCTGGTGGCACCTGGGAGGGGAGCAAAACCCTGCTAAGGAGGGGCAAGGGACACCCCCACACCAGTCCCAGCCCAGTTGGTATACTGGGAGCAGGCTGGCTTGCAGCTGGGATGACCAGCGCTGGGATGTCCTGGGGACACTTTGGGTCAGTGCTGGCTCTCTTTTTCCCTGATAACCCCACCGAATAAATCAATCAACATCCACTAATTAATAAATAAAGCACTAAACATCCCTTCCCTGGCTTTGCAATTAAAATCTGCCCTCAGTTTTCCCCAGTTTGTCTCAAATCTGGCACTGGGGGGCCCAGGGAAGGGAGGGGTGAGGTACGGCACAGCCAGCCAGGTACAACCCCAAGCGGACAGCGAGGGAGCTGGAGCTCCTGGGAGGGAAATCTGCCAGCAACGGAAAGCAGAAGCATCCCTTTTTTGGTGCAGCCGCTGTTAACTCTGAAGCCTAAGGATGGCCACATGGTGGCAGTGCTGCTGGCAAATCCCAGAAAAAGCAGCAATCCAAAATCCTTGGGGGCAGGCTCAGGAGCGCTATTCCGCTTTCCTCTTCCCCAGAAAAGCCTCCAGAGGCACCTCCTACATTTTGCAGGAGTTTTGGGCACCCTCCCAGCCCCCTCAGTGCTGCGGAAATGGGGGAGCCCGCAGGCCGAGGGCCTTCTCCTCCTGCACCGGGGTATTCTCCTAATCCAGCTCCTAATGCTCTTATCCCGGCTCCTGCTGCTCCTAATCCGATTCCCCCGCGCGCTCACGCGCCACGTGCGAGGCCGCCAGCCGGCCCCCACCCACTGCCCTGCCTCAGTTTCCCCACACCGCCACTCTGCCTCCCGTCCTCCCTGAAAAACACACGGATGTCCCCGAGATGCCACCACTTGCGCAGCACTTGGTGGCCCCTGTGCTGCTGGTCCCCAGCATCCCCCGTCACGTCCCCTCCCAGGGGACCCAGGGGTGCCCTAATCCCCCCGGGTGCAGTGGGCCAGTGGGTTTGGAGGCAAAGCTGATCCCGGCTCAAGCTGCTGCCTCCTCCTCCTCCCCTTCCTCCTCCTCCTCCTCCTCCTCCCTGCG